CCAAAACCAATGCATGCTGCTTGATCTGCTAAACCGAACTTCATTGATTTAAGCCAGTTTGATCTCTTTGACGTGAATTAGACTAAATTGTTTAAGTCCAAGTATGCCAGCTTACAGTATTTTAATTGTAAATTAGGTTAGCGTTATGAGAGATTTCCCCTTGAATACAGAAAAGTAATTTAAGTGCAGGATGTATCCTCTTCTGCGCAAGCCCCTTTGGAACACAATTTTTGCACAATTCCCATTTATTTTAATGGGGTACGTGCAAAAGAAGTTCCCTGTGTTTTGTGCCAAATGTCCTTTCGCTTCACAGTATACCAAAGTACTGAATTAACCACTCAGTGAATCAAAGAGTTCAGAGCAAACACATTCCTGGACTTAAAAAACACACACCAAAAAACCACTCTCCACCTGGATTACATTTTAACCACAATTTTGGCCCAATCTGCAGCTGAACACATCTTTAATTCAAGTAAACAAGGTTACCTTTGAGATGATTAATGGTTCCCCATGCTCCAGTCCACCTTTCAAAGTAAATCCCCATGGAGGACCTCCTTGTAGCAAAACCTCCAAATAAATGTATCTTCCTTTATGGGTTAAGTTTGCTTCCGAAGAAGAAAGAATAGTCCTGTTTATATTGTCCAGCATCCTCATGTTTATATTCTCAAGCACTCACTGAAGCCAAAAGCAGGGACTGGAAGAGTCTGGGGAGGAGAGGAGGAGGAGGAGGAGAGAGTAGAAGATTAAAATCCTTCACGTCCATGATGAATTGTCTCATAGTCTACAGGATCGCGGGCTGCTAGGATTGCCAGGAGGTTATGTTTTCCTTCTCAGCAGAAGTCCAGAAGGCAGAGCTCAATTTGCCCATCATTTCTATCTCAGAACTTCCAACTTTTTGGATGCAGCTTTTTGAAAACGAAGCATTTCTTCCCGTGCAAACATTGGTCCTGTGCAAGATCCTTCCTTTCACCTCTTCATTCTTTCCCCTAACATTTGCAATCGGCGGCTTTTCAGCATAAAAAGGGGGAAAAAGAGACATTTAAATGCTTTGGGTAGCAAGCTCCTCAAATGCACACCAGCGCTTCATTATTATTTTTTTATATTGATTATCAGCCCTTTCTCCCCTTCTGTGAGCAATTTACCATTACAATGGCCGTTTTTTCCTCAGTTCATTGCATCCAAAGAATGAAAGCATCTCCCACCCCCTGTCTGCCAGCTCGCTTTTCTGCTAACTTCACAATTTTGTGACTTGTCAAAAGTAGCAGGGGGAAGGGAGTAAAAGCCTGGACCTTAAACAACTTGTTCCCTCGAGCTGGGGACTTGAAATAGTTTCCCAGCTGAGTTTATAAAGGGGGAAAGAGAGCGTGCCAGGAAAACAGGAAAGGCAGGTGAAATTAATCCCTTGAAAAAATGTTAAGGAGATAGCTTAGCTCTTTTCAGCAGTTTCTCACTGCACTCGCTTGCCCGTGTTGTCATGCCTGCTGCTAAATGAGAGTGTTCAACTGGGGGAAGGAGGGAGAAAGAAGAAGAAAACTTGTCTGTTTTTGCCACTGCATGCCAAAAAAACCTGTGTGGTGCCTCATAACTGAGGTTTCCATATTTATATATTATTGTTTTTTGGAAAATAATATTTATTACTTTTCCAACAATTTAAACACTACAAAAAAAAGAACAATACAATACAATACAAAAACACTACATAACACTAACACATTAAACTAACAAAACAAAACAAAAACAGTTTGAAACACATCAAACAATTTCAATATCTTATCTTTCATTCGCTTATTTCAACGACCTCCTCACACCTCCCTTTTTGTATTCCACTTCTGTTAATTGTTTCAGCAATTCCTTTCCATCTTCCTCTGTTTTCTATCCTATAATTATCTTAACACATTCTAACCTTATTTTTTCCTTTAATATTCTATTAATCTATTTATACTTAATTCCTTATAACATTTCTACTAAAGCCATATAACTTCATTCCAACATTCTTCTAACATTCTTTAATTTTACAGTATTTCTGTAGTCAAAACAAAAAAAAAATTTTCCCCTCCCTACAGTATTTCTGTAAATAGTCTTTAAACTTTTTCCAGTCTTCTTCCACCGACTCTGGTTTCCATATTTATAAGGACCCCGGAGGCTGCTGCTGTCATGGAGTTTCTTCTGCCTTCTGGGGAAAACATCACTTTGCTAATTATTTGTTGGAAAATGCTTCAGAATCTCCACTCCAATTCAGTATTTGTTGGCCACAAATATAATCATGGCACTGGGTGATTTATGGGGGATCCCACCCCAAAATGCTCCATTGATGTCATCGATTCATAGCATCACAGAATTGCAGAGTTGGAAGGGACTGCAAGGATCATCTAGTCCACCCCCTGCAATGCAGAAATCTTTTGCCCAACGTGGGGCTCGAGCCCACGACTGTGAGATTAAAAGTCTCAGGTTCTGTCCCAGCATCACATGAAGCATAACGTTAAGATATTGCTGACACTAAAATACCAGTACATTCAGCTCCAGCAATCTTTACACATAATCAAGTGACTGGGAGTGGCCGCCAAGACCACATAACCACATAACTCCGGTCTTGAAAGACCTACATTGGCTCCCAGTAAGTTTCCAAGCACAATTCAAAGTGTTGGTGCTGACAAGACAGAAGTACTGTTTTGGGGGGACAGGAGGCGGGCGGGTGTGGAGGACTCCCTGGTCCTGAATGGGGTAACTGTGCCCTTGAAGGACCAGGTGCAGGTCAATTCTGTGTCCAGGGCAGCTGTTTATCAGCTCCATCTGGTACGCAGGCTGAGACCCTACCTGCCCGCAGACTGTCTCGCCAGAGTGGTGCATGCTCTGGTTATCTCCTGCTTGGACTACTGCAATGCACTCTACGTGGGGCTACCTTTGAAGGTGACCCAGAAACTACAACTAATCCAGAACACAGCAGCTAGACTGGTAACTGGGAGCGGCTGCCGAGACCACATAGCACGGGTCTTGAAAGACCTACATTGGCTCCCAGTACGTTTCTGAGCACAATTCAAAGTGTTGGTGCTGACCTTTAAAGCCCTAAACGGCCTCGGCCCAGTATATCTGAAGGAGCGTCTCCACCCCCATCGTTCAGCCCGGACACTGAGGTCCAGCACCGAGGGCCTTCTGGCGGTTCCCTCGCTGCGAGAAGCCAAGTTACAGGGCAGAGGGCCTTCTCGGTGGTGGCACCCGCCCTGTGGAATACCCTCCCACCAGATGTCAAAAAGAAAAACAACTACCAGACTTTTAGAAGACATCTGAAGGCAGCCTTTTTTAGGGAAGCTTTTAATGTTTAATCGACTATTGTATTTTGATATTCTGTTGGAAGCTGCCCAGAGTGGCTGGGGAAACCCAGCCAGATGGGCGGGGTATAAATAGTATATTATTATTATTATTATTATTATTATTATTATTATTATTATTACTACTACCATGTCTTAAGCATCTCCTTATCCTGACCCTCAGAGCTCCTCTAAAAAAGCAACCACCACAAAACTCAACATACACCAGCAAATACCACTTCAGGGAATCTATATCCTGAGATTCTTACAGGGAGTTGGTCTAGATCAGGGGTGGCCAACTCCCAAGAGGCTGCGATCTGAATTAAAATCTGGCAGTGATCTACCCCCGTTTTTGGGGGGTTCAGGTCAAAGTTGTTGAGCTTCTGTGTGGGGAGCCAGTGATCTACCAGTGATCTACCACAGATGTCCAGTGATCTGCCGGTAGATCACGATCTACCTGATGGACACGCCTGGTCTAGATGACGCATGGGATCCCTTCCAACTCGCCAATTCAACGACAAATCAAAGGAGCAGCTCCCAATGTCAATATGAATATGAATGGAGTGCTTTCTTAAAATTCTTTTCTTACAGGGCCATTAAAGGGCCTCCATCTTGTGGTCATTTCTGCTCATCCTCCAAACTCCTCCCCCTGCTTTTGCTGGCTTAACTTCTGTTATGTACTGAGTTGAATAGGATCCAAAATGCAGCAGTCTGATTGGTCCTAGAACGATAGGATTCAGAATGCAGCAGTCTGATTGGCCCTGGAACAATAGGACCCAGTATGCAGTAGTCTGATTGGTCCACAGGAGCCACCCAATCCAGCTTCAGGTGGAAGTGAATCCGCGACCTGATGGGCCTACAGGAGAATCCTGGAATTAGCCAATCACGTGGGGCCCATTGTGTAAATAATGTATATAAAGCAGACATATTGGGGCAACTTCCATTCCTCCTCGCCACTATGAGCTGAATAAAGAGCATGAAATCTACTCTCGACTCCGAGTATATTTCATTGATCAACAAACCATGGTTACGGTTGCCACTATTAACTTGGATCAAACACCACAATGGAATGTCTGGCGGTCTTTTATTTTTTTTAATCAGTGAAATTTATGCTTCTTCATTTCATTTCTGTGCCGTTCTATATTTTAAAGAAAAAAATCTCAAAGCGGTTCACAATCCATTAAAGCATCAAATCCAGAATAATAATAAAAATCAAGGTTCAAGGAGAATATTTCAGATCCTTCTCTAAGCGACATTTTACTTTCCCCATATTTTTTTACCTACTTCAACACGGGGGAAGGGGACTGTCTTTGGTCTCCCTATCTCCATTTTTGAATGGGGGAGCCTTGGGGGTTGCAAGCCTTTTGGAGGGCAGATTGCATGATTTTCCTTCTATTTTATAATCATTAATATTTATCATTATTAATTGTAAATACATTTTATTATCAAGCACCCATCTCATAGGAACAGATCTTTACCAGCTAGTTTCTGTATTGCATTTTATTTTTTATATGTGCTCTGGTTGTTGTTTTAAAATGTGGATAGATTGTTGTTGTTGTTTTAAAAATTGTTTTTCATTTAAAAATTGTTTTATTGCATTTTAAATCATAGTAATACCTTCTTGTTTCTCTCTAGAAAGGGATGGATGAGATTTGTTTTATGAAATTCTTATCACGTTCTTGTACTGCTGTTAGGGACTTCAGGATATAGACCAGAAATGCAAAAACAGGCAGCCAGGGTTCTTAAAGAAAAAGTTTTTATTGAAATGGATTTTTGTCAGACAAAAATGCAAATGGGTACATTCAGGAAAAATGAGAGAATGCCCCCGAGGGTTGGGGGCAGATAGTTTTTATAACCTCAAGCAAAGCACAGTTCAGCCCCTCAGCACCCCCCTTTAGCCAATAATTAACACTTCTTATGCATATTCATTAAAAGCTCTGCCAATCAGATTGGCGATAGCCTTGGTCTGTTTCAAGCTGCTGCGTCCACTAGATGTCACTCTAGGCTTACTATCTGTCTGACCTGGTTTCACGATTCCCAGTAAAACCTCAACCACCTGTTCTCTTAGAAGTGTGTCCTGTGGGTCTAACAGCTTTCTGCCTGAGTCTACTTTTGGCCTTCTGCGGTGAGCTAGCTTTCCTGTTTGGGTCAACAGTCTGCTACAGGTGTCAACTGTCTGACCACACTGGATTTTGCATAGCTGCAGCCTTGCTTTTGCAAGAGAAATATCTTTTGGCTTTTAGCTTGCTCTCTAAGATGCTCTAAAATGGCTTTTGGCTTAAGAAATGGCGTCAGTCTGGTTCCATCACTCCTTCATTCCCCCCTTTCCATCATGAAAATGCTGACCGGTTCCGGTTCATCATTTTCAGTTGATGGATCCATAAGTTTAATGTCATAAAGAGCCAGGACATGGGTACGTGTAGCTGCCTCAACTGAGCGGCTTACCATTCGGCGTACAAGCTGAATAAGGCATGGCAAAAGGCAAGATAGTAACAGTAAGGTAAGAAAGAGAAACAAAATCACAAGCAAAATCTCTTTTAACCATCCCCAACCTGGGAGCCAGGAAGTAAACCAGTTCCACATACTGGGGAGTTCTCCCCCAGCTAAACTGATTTTGCGGTACAAATCTGCCTGCTTTTTAATGCGGTCAACATTACTCTCAACACGGTCACTGTGGTTGTATATAGTTGCTAACTTCCTAATTTGTTCAATATTGGTCACCACTCGTTGGTCTTGATTGATATACACACAGCATGAGGTGTTCAAAAGAGTACAAACCCCTCCCTGGCTGGCCAGTAGGTAGTCCAGAGCCATCCTGTTCTGTAGAGTGATAGTGGCCGTTTGTCTGATCTCTATCTGAAGGGCCAGGAGGGCCTCAGCCGTGAGGTTGGCTATTTGGGCCATTTGCGCTACCTCCTGCTGCAGAGTGGTTAAGGCATCCGCTGTGGAGGCGGCAAAGATGTCCAGTGATGCTGAGACATTTACTAGAGCCCGTTCCAGATCAAAAACACCATATCTGGGGAAGACCACTCTAAGAGCAGACTGGAAGGCGGTACCTCTGACCACCAGGGGGTTTTCTGCAAAGGGATTTCCTGATCTGCGATAGCGGGGGCGTACCTCTCCCGGGAAGGTGTCATGGATTGTGAGCCCTGGGGTCAAAGTTCCTAAGCTGCAGGTCCCATACCAATTTCGAGGCAATGTCTTGTAGGCTGTGTGATCGCAAAGCCAAAACCATCCCTCCCTCCACCCCGGTGTTGCAAGGGGAAAGGTGGGGGGCCAGGTGTCTTTGGTCCATCTAGGGAGAGTCATATTATATATATATGTACACCCTGAATGATTGCCCACAAAAATCTCGTCTGGAATATCCGGCTGCCACCAATAGTCCTTCCAAAGGTCAGTAGGGTACTTGGCCTTCCAAAAGGCACTGTCCACGGGTGCTACACTCCTGTGGATGCACGGGCCTCCTTCTATGACCCTGTCAAGCCTCCAAATGTGGTGTTGGGGAACCCTGTAGGTCTCGTTCAGCCACGGAGGTCCTGCTATCAGCAGACGTTGAAAAGAAGTCGCATTCATAGGGAAAGGTACTCCTGTTATGGGGATCCCCTGCCCCAGGTGCATGGGGACATGCACACATACCCAACATTCTGACCTATTCAGGCTCCTGGCTACCGCGGTTGTCATGTTCAGGAAGGTGTTGCCCTTCCACCCTGTGGCCATTTGCGAGGTGAGGGCCCATAGGAGCCAGGGGATGACCTGATTCCTCATCTTGTTCAGTGCCCCACAACAGGGGACTGTACCCCAACACAGAAATGCTACAAAAAGGGCAATCCCGCAAGCAAAAAGGAGGGTGGCCCACCAAGGCCAGGGCATGGGGCCTCTAACTTCTGGCCCTACTGTGGCGTGCACAGCGCCTACACACGAGACGTTCCCACTCAACACAGGGGAAAGCGTCTGCCTGGGACAGATATACTGCTAGGCCTCGGGTGCTGTAGGGATGGCAAAAGACTCTGTAAAATTCGAAGGCTGGTCCTATTCCCCGGATCAGGAGGAAGGGTCGATAAGCCCACTCCTGAACCTCTGTAGCCCTGTAGAGCAGCCACAAAGGAACGTGGGGGTGTTCACGGAGGATGAATCTATGGTGGCCACACCGTAACGTCCCTTCTTGCAGACGGAAGCCTCGGCGGTCAACTGGTCGGGCAAACCACTTGTAACACTGTTGCTCCGACCAGTCCTCTTGATATGGGTCTAAAGGGGAGGGTCGCCTTTGCATATGAGAAGGGCTTCTTGACCCCTAATTGCCCAAATACCACCGGCGGAGTCCTGCCTGGGCCTGCAGGTATGCAATGTCCAGGATCTCCGCTATCTCCTGGCCGTCAGCGTTCCAGGGTCTATACCAGTGTCTGGATTCTTCCGGAAAAATGTGCTCTGTCTGTCTCCCTGCTGGGCCTGCTGGGTGGCGGTCACCTCCGTGACCTCTGATCAGGGCAAATGGAGGCTGGAATCCTGGGGTGGCCACCCTTATGCAGCCACAGGAATACCCTGCCACATCCAAGGGTACTAGGTGTGGAGTTACCAGGCCCAATAGTTCAGGTGTTATTCTGGGCTTGTGGGAGGTCCGAGCCACCACAATAGTCACAGGTGGGACTGCCGGATTTATTGGTACTTGTCCAGCAATTTCAATGTGCCTTTGGTTCGGACACCCTCCCATGCACCCCTGGGTCAAGATTAGGGCCTGGTATACCCGCCGGTATGCCGCTCCACCTCCTGATGTAGCAGTTGATTCCAAAGGGGGTTGGTATGTTGTTCTGCCTCGCGATGCAGCACACCGACCAAGTGGAGGGCCTCGTCTATCAAGTGGGGTTGGTATAAGGCTCTACCTCCCGATAGCCAGCTGGATATCCTCCCCCCACAACAAGAACGGTCTGAAACTCGATAGATTTCGACCGTTTCTGTAAGTTCACGTATGAGAAGTACCCACGTGCGGTGTTCGGTGTCGTGGACCAGGACCCACAGGGGAAGAAAGGGATGTTTCAGTGCTACTACCTCCGTCGACCCACGCACCCAGCTACCAACTAGTACGCCTTCTCTTACCACCGGCAGGACGAACCACTCGTAGCAGAGGTCAGCTGGCCAGTAGGGGCGGTAAGGCTCGGTAAGGTACAGGTCCATAAAACATACAGTAAAGAAAATAGGAGAGAAAGAAGAGAGAGTCTTTGTGAATGTCCTTATGATGAGAAGTCGCCGGATCCTGTTGCCCGTGGCCCAACGCGCTCCGGTCGCGTCAGACACAAGGTGGTGATCAGTCGCAGGGTCTCGATGCCCGTGGCCTAACGCATTTCCGGTAGCGTCAGACACAGGGGTTTTTTGAGAGAGTCAGCTTCAGAGGGTCAGCAGGATGTCCTTTGCACGTCCAGACACCCTCTGATTTCTTCAGACGCGTGTGATGCACCCAGGGGATCACCTCGGCTACTTTCACCGCAGTTGGGGTAGACAGGAGGACGGTGTACGGACCTCGCCACTTGGGGATGAGGGGGTCGTGCCTCCACTCCTTCACGTAGACACTGTCACCCGGTTGGAACTGGTGGACCGGCTCAGCGAGGCTGCACGGCGTGCGCTCGAGGGAATACCTGGAAAGGGAAGCAAACACACGGGACAGGGATTGCACTTGTTCCTGGGTGATGTGATCTCCCACCCGCCCCAAACTGGCGGGGATGTCTCTGACGAAGGGGGGCGGTCTGCCATACAAGAGTTCAAAGGGTGACAGACGCAGTCTTTTGGTTGGGGCACTTCGGATTCGAAATAAGGCAATGGGCAGGACATCTATCCAGTTGAGTCCTGTCTCTTGGGTCAGCTTGGCCAAGTGGGTCTTCAGGGTGCGGTTCATCCGCTCGGTCTTTCCGGAACTCTGGGGTCGGTAGGCTGCGTGTAGCTTCCAGTTGATCTGCAGCGCCTTGCACACTTCTTGCACCACTTTATCAATGAAGGCAGGGCCGTTGTCACTACCAATACTTCTGGGGAGGCCAAATCGGGGTATGATCTCATTCAACAATTTCTTGGTCACCTCCCGGGCCTTCTCGGTTCTGGTAGGATAGGCCTCTATCCAGCCTGTCAGCGTACAGACAAACACAAGTAAGTATTTGAGGCCCCTAGCTGGAGGCAGTTCAGTGTAGTCCACTATAAGGCTTTCCATGGGGATGTAGCCCACGTGTTGTATGCCTGGTGGAGGAAGGTGACCTTGCCTTGGGTTGTTCTTGGCACATAAGACACACTTTTGAGAGATAGCAGCAGTTAGTTGGGATAGGTTGGGGATGTAGAATATTCTCCCAAGGTGTGCTTTAGCAGCTGGGCTGCCTAAATGAGTGGACTCGTGGTAGTTCTTGACAATTACACTGGCTAGATGCTGGGGCACGAGGACACGGTTGTCTGGTAAGCGAAACCATCCTTCTCGGAGCGTGGCTCCCTCTTGGCGCGCCCACTGTTGTTCATCAAGGGTATAACACGGCTTCACATCGTCCGGAGTGAGTTCCGGGATAAGGGCGGCAGCGACCACTGGCGGGGGTTTCAGAGCTGCTTCACGAGCTGCTTTATCTGCCTTATGGTTGCCTTTAGTGACCAAGTCCCGGCCTCTCCCATGGCCTTTGCAATGCATCACCGCAATCTCTTCGGGGCCCCATACAGCTTCCAGTAACGTCTCAACTTCTGGACCGTATTTCAGGGCTTTCCCGTGGCTCCCAATCAGGCCGCGCTCCTTCCAGAGGGCTCCATGCGCATGCAGGGTCAAGAAGGCGTATTTGGAATCAGTGTAGATATTCGCCTTGCATCCAGCTGCCAATTGCAGGGCCCTGGTCAGTCCAATCAGTTCAGCCTTCTGGGCAGAGGTACCGGGAGACAAGGGTTCCGCTTCCACCACTTCCTCATTGGTCACTACAGCATACCCCGCTTTCCGAACGCCGTCCAAAATGAAGCTACTGCCATCTGTGTAATATACAACGTCTGGATTCTTCAGTGGCTCATCCTTCAGATCCGGTCTGCTGGAGTAGACCTCATCCATGACTTGGAGACAATCATGGTGTTCCACACTGTCTGTGTCTGGCAGGGGCAGTAGAGTAGCTGGGTTGAGGGTGTTGACAACTCGTAAATGTATCCTGGGATTCTCGCATAGGAGTCCTTGGTACTTGGCCATGCGAGGATTGGTTAGCCAATAGTTGCCTTTTAATTCCATGAGGGTGAGAACCGCGTGGGGCACATTTACGTACATCTCCTGGCCAAATGTGAACTTGCCCGCTTCTTCGACCAGGGTGGCTGTGGCCGCCACCGCTCGCAGACAGGGTGGCCATCCCTTCGCTGTGGGGTCTAATTGTTTGGAAAGGTAGGCGACTGGCCGGTTCCAGCTTCCTAGCTTCTGGGTTAAGACTCCGGCTGCCACACCCTTCTGTTCATGCACAAATAGTTGAAACTCTTTCCCGGGGTTTGGCAAACCCAGGGCTGGTGCGGCCATGAGACATTGTTTAATGGTTTCAAAAGCTTCTTGCTGTGCTGGTCCCCACTCAAAAGGGTCTCTTTCTCCGCCTCGGGTGCTTTCGTTGAGGGGTTTTGCTAAAATACTGAAGCCTGGAATCCAGATTCTGCAAAACCCTGCTGCTCCTAGGAACCCTCGCAACTGTTTTCTGGTGGTGGGTTCCTTCATGCAGCAAATAGCTTCCTTTCGCTCGGGTCGCAGTGCCCTCTGCTGGTGTGACACATCAAAACCTAAATACTTCACTTCTTTTTGACATAATTGAGCTTTCTTCCGGGAAACTTTGTATCCCGCCTCCCACAGCAGGTGGAGCAATTCTTCAGTGCCCTCCCTACAGGTTTCATAGTCCACTGCAGCCAGTATGATGTCATCAACGTATTGGAGCACCACCTTGTGGCCAGGTATGGAAGGGTACTTGGCCAAGTCTTTTGCTAAAGCTGTCCCAAAAAGAGTGGGAGAGTTCTTAAAGCCTTGGGGAAGTCGCGTCCAGGTAAGCTGCCCCTTCGTACCAGTTACTGGGTCCTCCCACTGGAAGGCGAAAAGGGGTTGGCTTTGGGGGGCCAGGCGGCAACAGAAAAAGGCGTCTTTGAGGTCTAGGACGGTGAAGAAGGTGGCTTCAGGTGGAATGAGACTCAGCAAGGTATAGGGGTTGGGCACGTTGGGGTGTAGGGTCTCTGTAGCTTGGTTGACGACCCTGAGGTCCTGTGCCGGACGGTAGTCATTGGTCTGAGGCTTTTTGACCGGTAGTAGAGGGGTGTTCCACTCAGATTGGCAGGGTTTGAGTAGTCCATAGTTGAGCAAGCGGTCCAAGTGCTTTTGTATGCCTTCCACCGCTTGGCGTGGTAAGGGATATTGTCTTATGGACACTGGCGTTGCGAAAGGCTTTAATTTGACTATGATAGGTGGTATATTGATGGCTAATCCCGGAGGATTGTCTTCAGCCCAGACGCCTGGTGGCGCTCTGAGATTGCTGGGTATCTGGCTGTTGCAGGGGGCTGGCGGTGGCTCCGTGGCTAGAGCTGCTATGAGTCCCCATGAATGCTCCCTAGGTACTGTGACTGACATTATGCCGCTCGCCTGTGGAGGCAGTTTTAATTCGGGTCCTTTAGGAGTAAAGGTGATTTGAGCCTGTAGTTTGGAGAGGACATCCCTTCCCAACAAGGGCACGGGGCATTCAGGTATATACAGAAACTGATGGGTCAGGTGTCGCCCCCCGATCTGACAGTCCAAGGGTTGCAGAAAAGGTTTCCTTGAATGGTTGCCAGTTGCCCCAACTATGCTCACTGTTTTGTGGCTTTCCCGTTGTAGGGGCGTGGTTATCACCGAGTATTGGGCTCCGGTATCGATCATAAAATCTACAAGTCGGTTCCCTAGTTTGATCTTGACCATGGGTTCCGAGTGGGAACCTGAAAAGGCTGGCTGAGTGCCTACAAAGGAGGAACCCGGTCTGTCCTAGTCTTGGTAGTCTTGGTATTCTCCCATGGCTGCCAGACCTACAAGGTCTGTCCGGTCCGGCCCTCTCGCATATCGTCCATCCATTAGCCTGCCCCTTCGCTCTCGTCCTCGGTTTCCTCCCATCCGTCCTGGCCGATTCTGAGGGCATTCGTCTTTCCAGTGACCTTCCTGCTTACAGACTGCACACTGGTTTCTTCCTAAAACTTGACCTCTGCCTCCTCCCCGGCCTCGGGTCTCTGAATGGCTGCGGCGGACCTCTCGGGTCCCTGGGTTATGAGCCATTGCCGCGGCTATCACTGCTGCCTTTTCCTTCATCCATTGCTTTTTCTCCTTCTTTTCAACCTCTCCCCTCTGTTCAAATACTTTCTGGGCAATAGCCATAATTTGAGATCTAGACATGCCCTGGAACCCGGGCTGTTTTTGGATCTTTGTTCTGATGTCTTTTGCACACTGTCCTATGAAGGCGGCATTCACCATTAACTCATGGGCAGGGGCTTCGGGATCAAAGGGGGTCCAAATTCTATAAGCCTCCATCAGGCGTTCCAAGAAATCCCCCGGACTTTCATCTGCCCGTTGCACGACGGCTGCCACTCTAGACAGGTCCGTAGGCTTCCTAGCTGCCCTGCGCACTCCATGTAGGAGTATTTCGCGGTAGGTATTTAGGGTGGCACGGATTCCTGCCTCGTTAGGGTCCCACCGAGGGTCAGTTAAGGGGTACCGATTAGGCCACTCTTGTTCAGGCACCTGGTTTTCTTTAAGGTATTCCCAAGCCTGTGTATTTATCCTCCTCCTCTCCTCTGAAGTGAAAAGAGTGTTCAGTAATTGTTGGCAGTCTGACCAATTGGGTTCATGCGCTGCAAATATAGAGGATAGCAAGTCCAGCATTGCCTGGGGCTTCTCAGCAAATGCTGGGGTGTGGGTCTTCCAATTAAGCAGATCCACCGTTGAGAAAGGTATGTATTGAAGGGTGAAAGTCCTAGGCTGCGGAGGCGGCGGCGGGATGTTTTGGGCACCGCCTTGACCTGCGCCTTGACCTGCCGCCTGTACGGGTGCCGCCTGTACGGGTTCCGGAGGCGGATTGTCCCACACTACACGAAGGGGGGCCAGGACTCCTGTTCCTGTCTCTGCGGTGGACCTGTGCTGTTTTATATACAGTCCTATTGCTTTTTCTAGGGCCCTACGATAAGCTTCTTCAGCTTTTCGATACAGCGTGGTATTCATTCTAGTTGTCATGGTGGTATTTGTCTTATATTTGTCCACCTGATCCCTCAATTCTTTAAGGTCGGGGTACAATTCATCTAGGGTCTCGTCACTGGGTTCTGCCATGTGTTCTTCTACTTTGGCTGATAACCTCCCTCCTGCTGCTTCGGCTCCTGGAGCCACGTAGTGGGGCGGCGGTGGAGCGTTGGGGGCAGGGGCAGGCGCCACCACAGTAGTTGGAACGTATGGAGGTGGTGGTGGTGGGGCTAGGACTTCTGCTTCGGGTCCCTGGTAAATGGGCTTCTTGAGGGTCTTCTTTGCCTGTCCTGTCTTTATTTCAGCCCTGAGGGCCATGATTTTGCACTGTTCAGTCCTGCATTTCTTAAGCCAGGGGGGGTTTTGTCTATCACATTCAGCCAACTATCAATGTAGGGAATCTGGTCCGGATGCCCCCCCTGGTCCTTGATGATGTTGGCCCATAAACTTGCAACCAGGGACCGGTCATAACTCCCTTGGGACGGCCAATTCGTTCCTTGGGTTGGCCAGTCTACTTCGCAGAGGCTGCGGAGGCGTTCTGGCGTCATTTTAATGCCATAGTCTCCATTGAATCCTTTCTTGAAATTATCTAGCATGCACTGTAGGGGAGTTACTGGACCTTTCGAGCCTCCCCCCCCCATATTCAGTATGGCCCTTGTGCAGCGTCCCCAAACACCGAACACACACACATGCAGTTCCCAATTTTCCTCGCCCAGTCGAGCTCGCGCTGCTGGGAACCGGAGTACTTATTGGTTCTACCCCAGGGGAATACCCTGGGGTTACACACACACACGCACCAAGTGCCTCTTTCACTGGACGCTGTACCACACACACTAGCCCCCGGTTCCCCCCCTTTTTCCCTTTCTGCCTTCCTTTAAATCCTTAAGCGTGGGTGGGTATCAGGGGCCAATTCTTCCCTTATTGCCACCAAACACGCTTGGGCATGTGATCAGGATGCCCCTTCCCCTTTTTAATTACAAGGGGGTCTCTGTCTTCCTCTGTCCCCAGGGCCCTTTTCCATGTACTCACCAGCCGCGGCTGCCCTGTCCTCTCAACCTCGGTTCTTCAATCCGTTGCCTCCTCTCCCAGGGTGCAGCAAGGGTCAAAATGCCCCTGCCACTCTCCTCCGAAGAAAGAATTCGGTGCGCGCCGGATCGCGGCCGGGCTTTGGCCCCCGCTGCCCCTGCCCAGAAAGGGCAAGGGAAGCTGCCTTCTGGTCTGTTTGAGGACTTAGGGTCCTACGATCCGAGGCACCTTGGCACCAGAAATGTTAGGGACTTCAGGATATAGACCAGAAATGCAAAAACAGGCAGCCAGGGTTTTAAAGAAAAAGTTTTTATTGAAATGGATTTTTGTCAGACAAAAATGCAAATGGGTACATTCAGGAAAAATGAGAGAATGCCCCCGAGGGTTGGGGGCAGATAGTTTTTATAACCTCAAGCAAAGCACAGTTCAGCCCCTCAGCACCCCCCTTTAGCCAATAATTAACACTTCTTATGCATATTCATTAAAAGCTCTGCCAATCAGATTGGCGATAGCCTTGGTCTGTTTCAAGCTGCTGCGTCCACTAGATGTCACTCTAGGCTTACTATCTGTCTGACCTGGTTTCACGATTCCCAGTAAAACCTCAACCACCTGTTCTCTTAGAAGTGTGTCCTGTGGGTCTAACAGCTTTCTGCCTGAGTCTACTTTTGGCCTTCTGCGGTGAGCTAGCTTTCCTGTTTGGGTCAACAGCCTGCTACAGGTGTCAACTGTCTGACCACACTGGATTTTGCATAGCTGCAGCCTTGCTTTTGCAAGAGAAATATCTTTTGGCTTTTAGCTTGCTCTCTAAGATGCTCTAAAATGGCTTTTGGCTTAAGAAATGGCGTCAGTCTGGTTCCACCACTCCTTCACTGCTAAACCATGGGACACGCTTCTATCTTTGATCATAAATATTTCAGTTTAAGATTGTGTATCATCAAAGTTTTCCCCAGTTCCATAAAATGCAAGACAGTGATGCGCTTCTTCAGCAAAGAGCGACAAGATATTTTTTTAGGGCCGTGAAATCCATAAGTCAAATACCAAGCTGAAACTCCTTGTAAAATAAGTTCCTCTTTCAGAGAATAATATGTAACACTTGAGATGTTCAAAAAGCAAGAAGTCGTGACAATATTTGCAGCAGTTTCTCATTTCAGCTTCCCATATGACATGATTGAAGACGATATGACAAATATCTCTTCCTGTTAATAATAATATTTATTAATTTTCCAACAAATTGAACACAACACTACAAAAAACCAAAAAAGAAAAAACATACAATAAACATACAATAATATAATAATAATAATAATAATAATAATAATAATAATAATAAAACCTGCAAAACACTAACATACAACTAACAAAACAAAAACCATTTAAAACACAGTCCAATTTCAATATTTTATCCTTCTTACACTAATTTCCACAACCTCTTCACACCTCCCTTTTTGTATTCCACTTCTATTGATTGTTTCAGCAATTCCTTTCCATCTTCCTCTATTTTCTATCCTATAATTGTCTTAACACATTCTAACCTTGTTTTTCCCTTTAATGCTCTAATAATCTATTTATACTTAATTCCTTATAACATTTCTACTAAAGCCATATAACTTCATTCCAACATTTTTCTAACATTCATTAATTTTACAGTATTTCTGTAAATAGTCTTTAAACTTTTTCCAGTCTTCTTCCACCGACTCTTCTCCCTGGTCTCGGATTCTGCCAGTCATTTCTGCCAATTCCATGTAGTCCATCAATTTCATCTGCCATTCTTCCCTGGTGGGTAAATCTTGTGTCTTCCAATATTTCGCGATGAGTATTCTCGCTGCTGTTGTTGCATACATAAAAAAAGTTCTATCCTTCTTTAACACCAATTGGCCGACCATGCCCAGGAGAAAGGCCTCTGGTTTCTTCAGGAAGGTATATTTAAATACCTTCTTCATTTTATTATAAATCATCTCCCAGACAAATATCTCTTCCTTAAGGGGTTTCAAGCATATACTGTATATAAGCACCTTGTTCCTGCTATTCAAATTAACACAATGACTTAATCTAACTGTTATTTTGCTCTCTCTGTCGCTGCACTTTCAGGATCTGAAAAATAACCCTCTTAGTTGTAGACTGAATGCGATCAGTTTCTGTTACAGTAGGTGAAATCCAAGCAAAGCATCAAGACAGATAAGTCCGCTACAATTAATGCTTGGCTGCATGCTTGATAGAACAGCTCTCCCCAACCATAAACATGAAAAATCTATGAGCCTTCAAATGTGGTTTGACGCCAGTTGTCATCAGCTTTAGATGGTATGGTGCATGGGTAGGCAAATTAAGGCCCGGGGGCCTGATCCGGCCCAATTGCCTTCTAAATCCGGCCTGTGGACGGTCCAGGAATCAGTGTGGGTTTTGTGTGTGTGTGTTTTTTCAAAAATTTTATTAATTTCCCAAAGATTTTTCAAACAAACAAACATAAATCTCAACTGTATTTAAACCAAACTTAATAACATTGTTAGGTGACTTCCTCGTATCCCCCTGGTTGAATTTCAGTGTATATCATTGTAACGGTTTTCCAAAACCACTATTCTTATAAAATTAACTTAATAACTTAACATCATAATATTTTCCTTTCCAATTCAGTATTAAACATATTAATTCATCCCATTACCTAGTTATGTCCTAAGCCTATCTGTTATTTGCAAACTTCTCCAATTAATTTAACTTAACATATTTAACTAAATAGTCTTTAAATTTCGTCCATTCTTCCTGATAATCCTCCTCCTTCTGGTCACGGACTCTTCCGGTCAGGTCGGCTTGCTCCGAAAAGTCCATCATCTTCATCTGTCAATCTTCCACTGTTGGTACTTCTTGTGTTTTCCAATTCTTAGCTAATAAAATTCGAGCAGCAGTTGTGGCATACAAAAATAATTTAACATCCTTCTTGGGCAATTCCAAACCTGTTATTCCAAGAAGTTTCTTACTGAATGTATTCTTACTGAATGTATATTTCAACATTCTTTTCCAGTTCATTATAAATCTTCTCCCAGAAGTCTTTCACCTTGGGGCAGGTCCACCACATGTGATAAAAAGTACCCTCTTTATCTTTACATTTCCAACATAAATTATCACTGTTATGGTAAATCGTTGCTAATTTTAGGAATCAGCATGTTTTTACATGAGCAGAATGTGTTCTTTTATTTAAAAAGCATCTCTGGATTATTTGTGGGTGTTATGTACTGAGTTGAATAGGATCCAAAATGCAGCAGTCTGATTGGTCCTAGAACAATAGGATTCAGAATGCAGCAGTCTGATTGGCCCTAGAACAATAGGATTCAGAATGCAGCAGTCTGATTGGTCCTAGAACAATAGGCTCCAGACTGCAGCAGTCTGATTGGTCCACAGGAGCCACCCAATCCAGCTCCAGGTGGAAGTGAATCCGCGACCTGATTGGCCTACAAGAGAATCCCGGAATTAGCCAATCACGTGGGGCCCATTGTGTAAATAATGTATATAAAGCAGACATTCTGGGGGAACTTCCATTCCTCCTCACCACTATGAGCTGAATAAAGAGCATGAAATCCACTCTCGACTTGAGTATATTTCAGTGGGGCATAGGAATTTGTTCTTTTTTTCTTTTCCCCAAAATATAGTCCGGCCCCTCCCAAGGTCTGAGGGACAGTGGACCGGCCCCCTACTGAAAAAGTTTGCTGACTCCTGGTATGGTGTATGGACAATGGTCGGGGGTGATGGGAGGCATAGTCCAGCAATATCGAATGCCACAGATTCCTTATACTGTACCAGTGATGGCCAAACTTGGCCCTCCAGCTGTTTGGGGACTACAGTTCCCATCATCCCTGACTACTGGTCCTGTTAGCTAGAGATGATGAGAATTGTAGTCCCAAAACAGTAGGAGGGCCAAGTTTGGTCATCACTGCCTTATACTGTATCCCTCAACTAGAAGTTAATACCTAGAAAGTAGTTAAAAATAAAAGCCACCAGGTGTCAGTAGAGGATCAAGTTCCAATATTTATTTATTTCCTTTCCTTTCCATTTGCAGACTGCTTCCTATGAAACATAGCAAAGCAATTCTCTAGTGTCTCCTTCAAGAATTGTGGGGTCTGCTTCTAATAGCTCAGGGATGCACTGAGAGTCCAATATTTATGCAAAAGTGTTGGCTAAGATCTATTACAGTAGGTTTTTCCATCCATGGACTTTCTATAAATGTGCTTGAGTGTTTATGTTCCTTTTTAATAAGCAAATAAATTTTTAAAAACAACCAAAAATTATTGTAATTCTGACATATA